GCGAAATGTTTATTATGGGAAAATATTAAGATTTGTGGCTCGTTGGTCTAGGAGTATGATTCTCGCTTAGGGTGTGAGAGGTCCTGGGTTCAAATCCCGGACGAGCCCTTGATTACATGTTGGTCAGACCATCTCTCGAAGATGGACCTCCATATCAAATCAAGTCTCTGCAATGGTAAAATAGGAGGGATGGTCACAAGTTCATTTCTAAAGGACACATTTTGATTTTTCCATTTGATGTTTCAATCTAATGTTCTACCTAATGTTTATATTTCTTACACTTTCCATTCACTGTTTGTCAAGATCATGGCTGTTATGATTAACATTTTGAGTGATCCAATATCTATTACATTTGATCATGATGAAAAACTCAGTTGTGTAACTCACTGAGTACATACGTTTATATGTAGAAATTAGTACAGCCTTAATTAATTAGATCTGAATTTGACATCCACATCAACAGACACTTTGTCAGAGAGAACAGTTGAAGATAATTATATCAGGAGCTAGTCCAGGATTTGCGATACTGTATTGAAAATATGTTGAGTGTCAAGAGTTGTCAACACTTGAAGTGTCATATAAATACAGACCAGTTACCGTCTAAGCTGTCTTCAGACATGACTTCTCGAGGAACTCTGGACACATGTATGCACAATGCAGATGACAATGATTTTCCGCTCAGACGTGCTCACAACAGAAACAAACACTTTCAGAGGATCCCGGTGAGGGGTGGTGCGGGATAGACGTAACATGTTCATTCTGCTGCAGGGTTCACATGTTTTTGTTAACGGTATATCGACACCGGCAGCTGCTCTTTACACCACAAACTCTCTTGACATCTTTTTCTGTATCTTCTATGTGTATGGCACTTCTTTTTCATCTGCATATGTCTGTTTTACTTTACATTTTTTGTCCGTTGTGCGTTTAATACATCATCAACCCTGCCACATATTTGCAGTGAATCCTGTGGAAGATCTCCTGGGGTTTTCACACGAGCTCCCCTAAAGTTTCTGCAGACTTACTCGGGGGGGCCAGCTGGAGAAAGACCTCACTCCGGCGGCTCTCACTTGGACATTTGTGTTCACACATGCACCTTGTCCAGAAGATCTTGTGCAAGTTTGAAAGCAAGGCTGCTGCGGAGCAACAACAACAATCTCAAATGGAAACGCGGCCACACGTCTTGCACATGTATGTTTGACGCACTGACGGACTGAATATGTGCGTGTGGCCCTTTAAGCCTCGTGGAACTTCTTCCTACACGGACTCCTCCTACTGGCCACGTCACATGCGGAAGTGTTAAGATGGAGGATTCCAGAGAAGGTTCCACGAACCCACTTCTGAGAGATGGTAAAACATGTTTATCTGCTGCGGTGGTGATGTGTACAAGCCGGAGTAGGAGTCCTGTTATTAACTGCTTTGTCACGCTCCCACTTTCGTCCGTAGATGGACTCTGGAAAATCACTTTTTCTTGCTTGCTAACAAGCTACGTCGGATACATATCTGAGGCGTTTGTATAGACTGGAGTGGGATTCACCGAAAACTTGCTCACGGGCGATGTTAACGCATCTTCGTAATGTTGTTGCAATCACTGGTGTAACCGTGATGATACAAATCAAGCCACGCTGCGTAAAAGACGCAGAATATCGGTGAATCCATAAAACCTCCTTTCTTAATCACTAATCCTTGATGGCACACGTCATGAGGTCAAGGAAAGATGCGGAGTGGAAAACACACAGTACAGTGATGAACACACGTGATGTAGATCTTCACTTGCAGTAACGTTTCGTCCTGAGAAAATATGTCTTTAGTTTGTACAGATGGAAACAAGTCAACCATCAGCTGCTCACAGCATGTGGTCATTATTGTAGCCTCAATAAACAATGAAAACAAACAGGACAGGAAGTGTTGAAATGGTATAATAGCATGAATTATGCATGGGTTTAGTCAGATGAAGTGATGCACCCATCATGCCTAGTGTACAAGCCAGTGGGGGCAGTGTTATGATCTGGGGTTGCTGCAGTTGGTCTAGGTTCAGTAACATCATATGCCCAAAGAATGAGGTCAGCTGACTACCTGAATATACTGAATGACCAGGTTATTCCATCACTGGATTTTTTTGCTGACAATGCCAGGATTCATCGGGTTCAAATTGTGAAAGAGCGGTTCAGGGAGCATGAGAGATGATTTTCACACATGGATTGGCCACCACAGAGTCCAGAGACCTTAACCCCATAGAGAAGCTTTGATACAAGATCTTAGTGAAAAATGAATGCAACACTGGACGGAAATAAATCTTGTGACATTGCAGAAGCTTATCGAAACAGTGCCACAGCGAATGCGTGCCGTAATCAAAGCTAAAGGCGGTCAGACGAAATATTAGAGTGTGTGACCTTTTTTTTTTTGGTGGCAACTTTTTTTTTTAGCCAGGCAGTGTATATACGTGAAGAAAACCTAACACAATTGGAGAGAATTTAAGGGATTTGAAATGACTTATATTCGCAACTATAGTATTTCCATTTAGTTTTGATTATGATACCTCAAATGTGCATGTTCACTGAGACTCATCATGTGAGGATTAACATCAGTCTTATCAGGAGAATTAAACAGCTGTTCACTTTCTTTTGTATTTACATGGATTTGTCCAGGTTCAACCACTATGTTGCATCCCTTTAAATTCTGTTTTAATGAATCGTAGGATGGCATTTACTCCGTTCCCTTCGTAAAGGAAAGTCCGGTGGTAAAGGAGATATGTTAGGAAGCATTGAAATTCCTTGCTTTATTATTTAGAAAATTAAATCGGTTCTTGTTGTGGCGACTGCTGTAATACATCCAGGTTATTTCACTTGGTTTGGAATCTTCTTAAGAAAAATTGACTGTTCAAGTGCACCTCGACTCTTCACTCCTCTGACCCAGTCTGGTGGCAGAAGTCTGGCTCAGAGAAGCAGAAAAGACATGGGGAGAGGCTGAAGGCTTCACAGGTTTTGTTTTAGATACAATGTTCTTAAGGCCTGATAGTTAGGGATGAGTGAATAGACTAAAAGGTTTGAGGATGTGTTGCTGTGCTTGCAGAGTGTTACGCTGATTTCTTGGAGGAGGGCTTTGATGTGAAGACATACACTGCTCAAGCTATACATCATGCTGTTATTGCTGAGCAGCTGGCCAAGCTGGCACAGGGCATCAGTCAGCTGGACAAGGAGCTGCACAGCCAGGTACAACCCCAACACACACCTCACGCAGACTCACAGCACTCTCTAAAGAAACAACATTTGTAGCAAGAGCAAAATTATGGTTCATTAGGAAAAGCTTTCTAATTAATCAGTGTTTTTATATGCACAGTTTAATTGGTTCTTAACTATTTTTGATAATTGCATTTTTCAGTTTTTGACCCTCACCAAACATCACATTTGACATTTGAAGATGTCACTGTGAGCTTTTTTAACATTTCCTAAAATCTTATAGAAAAATACAATCTGAGAAAATAGCTTTATCGACAATGTTGCAAGTATCCGAGGAAAAGAAACTTAAATAAAACCAAAACAGCCTGAAGATGAGACATTTAGGAACATTTTCATTCAGGAAAATGGCCAATTTTTTACTTCAGTCAAGAGCAGCTTCATCTCTTTAATTTAAAACTTAAAATGGAATAATAACAATAATAATCTATTTAAATATATATAACTTTTCTCAACTATTTTGCAAATTGTTTTACACTAAAAACTCATATCAAATAGACAGAGAACCGCATTGTAAAGAATGCTACAGTTTCTTGCTGATGTTTTTGGTCAAGTAAGAATCTTTTATATGTAGCAGGGTCGTAGAGTTTGTGGGACCAAGGATTATGACCTCAGATTTATCGTTGTCGAATTTTAAAACATTTTGGGATAGCATTTAACATTCCTGAGGCAGGCATACAAATGAACAGCAGCATACACGGAACACAGTGACAAGCATAACGTCAGCCCCATCCACTGATTTACACTGCATCTTTATTTCCAGGTTGTGGCCAGACATGAAGACTTACTGTCTCAGGCGACTGGGATAGAGTCTCTTGAAGGTAAAGAATTACTGCTTGATAACTATTGTTGCTTCACAGTAAACGTTTGTAGGAACAGCTTCATAGATTTGCACCATGGACTTAAGAATGTTTTTTTTTTCTAGACAGCCATTGAATTAAGCAGCAAAGAGGACTTTTATACTTTAAAGACATCATATCAGATCGAAACATATATGCATATTCATGTACTAGCTGATGCCTGACCTGACATTTTCAGCAGTAGCAGAACCATTTCTGATGCTGCTGTCCGTATTGGAACAATCTGCTCAGAATAGCATTTATGCTCCAAATATTCTTTAAACAAGTTGAAAGAAAAAAACTGTACCAGCATGAATCAATATTAGTGACAAATAGATGTGTTTTCTCTGCTCAATCCAATCTCTTTGTCTCAGGCTGACAAAAAAGGGAAACACCTCATGAAAGGCTGTCGTTGTCAGTAAGGTTGTCACTGCAGTGCTGACAGACTGTCAATGCTGAGCTTAAATGCACAGCAAAAACTGAGAGGACGCTAAATTGAAACGACCTTCACATGCACAGTAGCTCTTTCCACCTCTAGCTTTGGTTGGCGAGGCAGTGTATAGATCAGGGGTCACCGACCTTTTTGAAACTGAGAGCTACTTCATGTTATATATCATAATTAATGATAAATGATACTCACAATAATTATCATCAATGACTTAACAAGGAGGGAAACAGATAATATCAATATTCAACACTTTATTTCTATTAATCTCAGCAATTGTTTAAATATTCAGACGATCACTTCTACGTTTCATAAGAAAAATTTTCCATTTTCACTAACCAATGACCAACCCTTTTAACAAATCATAGTCAATAGTCAACTTCAATATGAGCATACAAATTTGACAATATAAAAAAAAAATAATTAAATTTAATTAGAAGCGCATATCAAATTTTAGACCCAGCTCACTAGTGAGTTGTGTTATTTTTAGAACAGGCCTGCGGGCGACTCGTGGTCCTTGGGGGCTACCTGGTGCCCGCGGGCCCTATGTTGGTGACCCCTGGTATAGATGATCTGCTCTTGTCAGATTACATTTTTGTATCCCGCTGCAAACACTGTTAACAGATGAAGTTTGTGTCATTAATGTAATAGTAAGTAACCACCTGTCAAATGTCTGACCGACATACAGGTACTACTATCATCCACACAATTTTTTTAATTTCCCTGATCCTATCAGCAGGCTTTCCAACCCATGATAATTGCAACAATATTTCCAGAATGATCTGCAGGAGCACGGACCTAATTCTCACTCATTTTCACTCTGAACTTATTGCAGTTCCAGTGTTTTACCACAAGAGAGAGCTAGTATTCCTCAAAGGAAGTCTGCTAATGCCAAAGCTCTTTAAATCAATGGCAAAATGTTTGGAAAAGAAACTATATTCTTGTTATTTTCAGGGGTCCTTCAGATGATGCAGACAAGGATCAGTGCTCTGCAGGCAGCTGTTGACAGGTAAATATATAATCAGATGACATGTTTTTAATATCAACATTTTACAGATGTAAAGGGCATTGGTTCCTTAGATTCCTTAAACTGACCAATACTTTTGGAATCGGGTACTGCAAAAAAAGAAATATATGATGTAGCTCCCAAATATGCTTCACCCCTATCTGGCCATGAGCACATCCTCAGGAAAAGTCAGTGATGGAGATTTGTACTCAACTATCAGCAGTAGTAACCAACCTGTTGATAGAAATGTCTTGAACTGACAAAATAGCAGAGAGTAAGTAAGTAGTATCCAAGTTCTGAGGTGTTTCATAGAATTTCTGGCAAATTAATCATCAAACTAGATTGGCACTCTGTAGAGTGCATACCTCTGCCAACACCCATTTCACTCAAGCTGCACCATATTGCAGATCTTGAATGTAGTCCCCTAAATATGTCTTCATTTTTCAAAAGTCTTCTTGCAACACCACACAAGATAAAAAATTGGATCTGCATCAGAATTTGATGGGTTCTTCTCTGACCCATAACGCATCCTCGCATGTTTTGTGGTAATCCTTCCAGTTTTTTTTGCGTGATGTTGCTAACAGACAAACAAAGCAACCAACAAAAAGGACAGGGGTGAAAGCATAGCCTTCCTGGCGGAGGTAAATATTAAAATAACATTCCTAGGACTGTGCAGATGGATGCGTTGATGATCGAAGCAATTATAGATAGACCAATTTTCACATTTCTGTATTCAGTTATTCTTATTTTTGGTTGTTGCTGCTGCTTTAGTTTCATGTCTGCATTGCCTGCATATACAACACTTGTGACCCACGAGCACACACACACACACATACACACGTTTCCTGCTGATGCAGAAAAGGGGTGGAGGAGTTTAGAGACAGATTAGCGAGAATGAGTTTCAAGTTTTGCTCAGCACATAGTTAGAGTTATTAATTCTTCCCTATTAATAATACTTACCATGTCGGAGTGTGAACCAGATAGTTACCTCATCACCATGGAAAGAATCAGGAATTATTTCAAAGGCGCTGGTTTGATTTAAAGGATATCACCATATGCTCAATACTAACGTGTGTGTGAAGCCTCTGTACCCACATCTAATCTAAAAGTCAAACTGTGCATGTCTCCCCAGGATAAGGACAAAGATTGTTGACCCGTACAACAAGATTATGGCCAGGATTACTCAGCTTGCCAGACTACAGGTACGTCTCCACGACACCCTTCATAATCACTATTGTATTATAGTAACTCTTCTGTAGCTGTATTGTGACTCATTTTAAATGGCAAAAGAAATATCATTTTACATTGATATGAAGGTTACCCAAACCCACAAAGAAATAAACAGTGTGTAGGAGAGAGGTTCGGTTTCCGCCTGTATGTAGGCAAGATATCTGTAATGTGCCGAGCTCCAAGCTGCTGTGGGTGCACGATGAAGCGAGCACATGTACTCAGTGGGAACATCAGGCTGCAGTGATCCTGTGTGTGCAGTGGAGGGAAATCGTGATTAAATATTGATGAAACAGTGGCTGTAAAAAGGTCAGCGTCGTTCTGAGATGTCTCTCCCGGGCTGATGGCTGCGTGTCACTCATATTTTCTGTGCGTGTTTGGGTGCACCTGTGTTTGTTATATCACTCTCAGTCTCTGGCTCCAGCGGCCAGTGTGAGCTGGATGCGACTCAAACAGCAGCCAGTCAGTCACTGGGGAATCCAAAGGCTGTGTGTGTGTCATCCCCCCCCTTGTCAACAACACATCTTCCTCTCTGTCCGCCTGAGATAATCAACAGGGACAAACACATTCTGGAGATGTCTGCACTCTGTTCAGTTCAATTCAGATTTATATGTACAGCACCGTGCATGCATTATCCCATGATACATAGTAAGGTCAAGACACAAGGACTGTCTGTTTAAAATAAAAATCCACTTTAAGTGAATAATGTTTAACTTTTATATCGTTAAAGAGAATTTAAATGCAGCCCACGTAGCCTAATCATAAACCAGGTTGTAGAATCAACATTGGTTAATTCCATTTAAATACATCTGGTCTGGTTTTAGGTGTCTGACTCACTGCCTGCAACAAAAAGTCAATTGAATGTAATTATCAGGCTCCTATAGCTGGCAACAATGACGTTTCTGCTCTATCTTTATTCAAGATCGTGATCTTTCACCTTCATTCTTTGTAAAACGTTCAGATTAACTCTGCTCCTGCTCCACACTGTCTGCTCTAAGATATATTGTTGCTGCACAAATGTCCCGTGCTTCAGTTTGGCTCCTTCATTCGCGTAGGCACTTATTCTTTACTCCTAACAGCATCCCTTATAGATGGTTAATGTTAAACCAGGGTTAACCCTAACCCTGTTCCATCACCAAAATGGTTTTACAGAGAAGGACTCACGTGAACCAACATGCACGAGTGGACCAGCCATCACAACAAAGAACAGAGAAGCTCAGATTACAACACACAAAGAGAGACTGTTGGTTCATTCTCTGCTCAGTATGCTGTGAC